TACCGGTGATACATATTGAACTCTGTTACTCGTTTCTGGCTGTTAACTGTGAACCCATTCATAAGTGACAGGGACACCTATACCGCCACCCCGAACGTTTGCCGTAGCGTGGAGTGCTGTGGGGACCAGAGCAGGAGGATGCTCTGTGCTTGGCTCAGCTGCCCCTCCCGGGCCTCCCACAACAACACTATAGGGAGTTATGCGCCATAGTCTCTGTGTATCTGACCCAGAAACTCAAACCAACGTGCAGTTAGCAACCTCTGCATGGCACCCCACATTCAACTCACTGTCGGCTGCATAGACATTTACAGTCAGGGAAAGTTTATCAAGACTTGTGCAGGCAGAGGGTGGGAGCCTTGCATCTCACCTGACCCTGCTTCCAGACTGGGGGTCACACTGGCTCTTTTCAATTCTCTACCCAGTTGGACAAATCTGTATGAAGGGCGCTAGCACCTCTGTGAATTAGCACTTTTGGCTGTAGGCAGCATAGCTGAACGCAGGCACTTCCCTCTCTCAGACTCAGTATGCCTCAGAAGATTAAGAAGGAGACCATCTGTGATCCAAACTTACTGAAGAAAGTAAGTTTCTTTAGGGAAACTTGCTGGTTTTAATTCAGCTATGTTGAAAATGCTCTGGTGGTTTCTAATTTCATAGGAGACCTGAGGAGGTTGGCACCCAAATTTGGGGTGCCTTATTCCCATAACGGTCCGTAATGATTTACCTATGGTCTTCAGTACCAGCTAAATCTTCAACCTTCGCTCTGCGCATGGAACAGCAGCTCCTGGGAGGCTCTCCCTATCATCAAGGCTGCAGAAACATAAATACGTGTAGAGCCAAATTCACTGCTGGCACGAGTACACCTAATCCATATCCTTCAAAAAGATGTACCTGCTTGCTATTGAAGTGAACATGGCCTGCTTATTTCCTCTTGTACTGCTATATATAACATCCCCATAGAAACATACTTTGACCATGCTCTAGTATTTATATACAGTGGGGCATATAGTTTATAAATATCTATGGGTTCAATTGCCAGCACATAAATCAGCACGGTAAGGAAAGATATGAATTTACACTCCCTGCAATTCTGACTTTATAAATGGGTCAGTATGAGCCAGCTCCCCAGCTTGGCACTTCCCAGGCAAATACCAGCACTTTCTACAGACAGGAAATAGTACGAATTGAAGTGTGGACATCTAAATCTTCATACCAGAACTCTAGCATTGCACAATCAACTAGCTTGTGTGTGTGTATAAATATAAAAAAGACATAAAACTAAACTAACAGTTAGACTTCACTTTCCAGAAGAAGTGAAATGCAATTTTTCCCCCAAAACTTCAAACATACAAAGCTACTTAGATTTAAAGAATACTGTCCATGGTTTGTGTTCAAATTTGCTTACAAGTAATGTAATTAAGAGACATGTTTAAAAGGAAAAAAGAAGAATATATATGAATTAATTATCTTGGGATGTATCCACGAGTGTCTTCGTGTGTGTAGATGTTCAAATATTTTGTGTTTTTGAAGATATGTATGCAAGAGCGAAAAATCCTGTATTTACAATTGTGTAAATGCACACGTTCATATAGACACTCCCTTATATACACACACTTAGTTGCATACCTATGTGCATATATAATAATGTTTGTGTACATAAACACAAATTATGTACAGAAAAATAAGCATATGCCCATCCCACCCTAAATGATTCATCCCTGCAAGGAGCTGCTCCCCTGTGTCAACAAACAGACCCCTCTAACACAAGAAGGTATTAAAATGGATTCCCAATGGAAAACAGAATTCTCTATACCTGTAACGTCAATTACGTATTTATGCAACACATCTACCTTCTCCCAGTCACTCCTTCCCCCTGCAGTCTCTGTCCCTCTCGGGCAGTGCTCCCTACCCTGGCTCCTCTGATCTTTGCCCTCTTTTCCTTCAAATTAAATTTCTGCTTTTTTCAAACCACTGGTAGAGTGACAAGCCAGTGCCAGAACTGTCTTTTAATACACAAGAGCATAAATAATGCCATCCATCAGAGCTGTCACTCAGAAAGATAGATTGCTACTTGTCCAGACACTGGGATGACACAAAAGTGAAAGTTACAAACTGTCTCTTCTCTTTGCTTTCCTTCTTTCTCCTTTTTTTTATTTTTTTTATTTTTTTTTTTATTTGCCGGACTGCTTGATTCTGATTAATGGTGCTGTCAGGAAGGGATTCCGCTTGCCCGGATAATGAGTCAGGAATGTATTCCCTGTCACAAACACAGCAGATGTCAGGGGCAGAAGGGCCCGGGAATGCCAGAAACAATATACAGTTTCTTCCTAGTCCCCTGACAGGCCAATATGCTGCACAAGGTCTAATTTATGTAGACAAAATGCAGGCAAGGGGCTGTAGCAGTGGAGAAACTGTGCTGGGAAGTCTGAACTACAATGCAGCAGAGGAGAGAACTGAAGGGAGGTAATGAACGCTAGCAGTGGGACTCAATAGCACTGCATCAAATGGCCTTAACAAGAATGGCCCAGGACCACTTTGACTCCATTAAAGTGCACTTTACATCATTATAGAGAGAAATCAAACAGGGCAGAGGGCTTCTGTTTCTTTTAATGGCTCGATTAGGTTATTCACTGATCGGGGTTTGCAGCTGTCATAGTAATGCAGTAACTGCCAGGAGAGGTACAATAACGCTCGTGGCAATGCGGGGCCCACAGCCCCTCTCAAAGTGGAGCGCGTTGACTGGATCTGCAAATTCTCCATGTGTACACAACGACTAAGGCAAAGGCAGAATTAGGGGGGATTTGCTATTCCTGGTAAAAGAATTTTGAAGTGATTTGTCTTGAGATGCCTTCATTTTCAGAGTGGCCACCTGGAAGCACTGGAAAGGGGCCAGGTCTTTGCTGAAAGCTGAGCACCTGCCTTTGGATATCTGGGGCCCTGGCTTGACCTGCCAAGAGTAACCCCACATTCACTTGAGAGAATGATGACCTTCCCTGCAAAGGAAAGAAAACCATAGCTTTTCAGCTACAAAATGCTGGTATCATGAAACTAACTCACATATTGGGAAAATAAATTAGCATTTTGAAGCATGTGCAACTGCACTGGTCTGTTGCACTTTCTGTTCAGCAGTCTGGGGCAATTTGGTTTGCCAGCGCTTGTCCAGCACTTGGTATAATCGAGGTCCTGGTCCAGGAAGACTAACGCTCAGGGTCGGGTGATGGTGTGTTTCAGTTCCACGACACCTTCCTGAAGGTGCTGCCAGGCCCCCCCTGCCTATCACAGAATGATGTGAAAAATGATCTGTTTTGTTGATTACAGCAGAAGCATGGCTTAGGAAAAGGATTTGATTCAGAGTCCTTGATGTCTGCCGAAGTTTTTGTATTGACATCAGGGCATCACGCAGCAATCTCCTAAGCTCTTTGGAAAGGCACCACTTTCTTGAAGGTGCCGCAATATGTGTCTAGCATCTGCCTAATGAAATCCCATTATACAGGAAAATTCAAAGTGCAAAAGGATTTTGAAACTGTTCGTGCCAGAGACACGTGGCTTTGAAGGCCATGTTTAGCAGCAAGTTTCAGAAAACTATTGCCAGCCCTTTCAGATCAGGGCATTTTCTTGTTCCGTGCTCACCTCTTAGTACAGTGGAGCCCTGGTTCATGGAAAATTTTTTCTGCTATAATAATAAAATAATAGCTATTACCACAACGGAGCTAGTCACTTGAGAGGGATCCGCTCCTGGGCTGGAGTAAGTGTACTCATTACCTGAAATCTGGTTCTCAACCTCTTTACTGTGAACAGTCTTTTCAGTCCTAAAAGGAACAGCTTAAGGTATGTGTGAAGTCTCATCTTCAAGAATTCAATCTCAATCCTGATACGGACCTTTTTGCTCCTACCTTTAACTGGAGTACAAACAATGAATAAAAACAAAGCCATTTAAGGCATTTTGGTGCGTTTGAAACACTTTCTACTGGCTTCAATGCACTTTACTGCAGTGCATCAGCATGCACTTTATTGCGGTGCATCAGCAGTCCATGAGCTCTTCCACAAGAACTAGCTCTGGCTGGCTTTTATCTCCCTGCCACTTAATCTGAACCCTGACCCATGAAGGTCCCAGTAACTCCTTCCTGAGAAACAGAAGCTCAGCTCTGACATGATTTTGGCGCTGAATAGTGAAGGACCTTGAGGTCATAGGATCTGCAGGAGTAGGAGGAGGGTGCATGCATCCGAAAAGGTAAAATCAAGAGCTGAAAATAAAGAGAAGATCCTGCTACCTGGAGTCAGAGAGTAGACAGGAGCTGCTGCTTTGAAAGTGGAAGTGCAGTCAGGATGCTGGCCTTGGCTGATTTAGTGCCCAAATTGAATAGGATTAAAGGAAAGTCTCGAGTTTTGCCCAGACCCTGCCTAAAACCCTTGTGAAGCATCACAAAGCCATGTGTGTGCAGTGCATATTTCCGAATGTTGTCCATCTGGGTAGCAGACATTCAGTTTGAAAGTGGCACTGTTCTAGTGAAGCCCATTTACACTAGTCAAGGAGCTGGGCCAGTAGGACTGGGTTTGCCAGACCCACACTCTGAAGGCATGACGATATTGCATCAGCGTAAATCCAGCCACTGGGCCGTATTTGATTTCATTTACAGCAGCAGCAGTCCAAAGCAGCTCTCCTACAAACACCGGTCTGTTTGTTCAGCAGCGCAAATTAGCGTAACTGTTACCACCATCATTGAATTACGTGAGTAGAGAGCTGTCTTGGTGCAGCACTTTGGCTTTACCAGGGTGTAAGATACGTGTACTTGGTCTCACTCTACTGAAGTCAAGCTAGTGACTTCATATTTATTTACCAAGTGAATTCTGAGCGAAGTCACACTTTGGTTTTGGTTTGGTTACCTGCTCAGAAGTAGGTAAGTTTATCTCTGAACGTGCTCCTGAAATTAGATTTCCCAAAAATGCTTGTAGTCCTTGCCCTTTTGAATCCAGCAGTAAAGTCTTACCTACTCTGTCCACAGATGATGTCCCCTCCAAGCCATCAGAGTGATGTGACTAGCAAGAGAGATTGCTTCCTGAGTTGCCTAGGTCAACACAGCCTTGTCCACAATTCTGGTGAGCTTGCATTGAAAAGACATTTCTTCTAAATTGATAAAGCTGTTGGTTTTTTCCCCTAAAGCTCAACATGTTTTTATTTAAAATTGCTCTATTCCTGCTCAGACTGTCCCTAATCAGAACCAGCACCTAACAGCCTGAAAATAAAGGAAATAAAATTAAAGATTGCAATCGCTTTGGTTTTACAAGCCTGAGGCCTGGTGAGGCTTGCTTCAGGAGGGGAGAGGGGAGGTACGGGGCTTGTTTTTGTTAGTTTTGCTTGTATTACACTGATCAAAGCAGCATATTGTTAAGTAAGCACAAGTGTGGCTGTAGAAAGTCGGCACATTAAAACAGCTGTGATTGACATCAGATTGCAGGAGAGAGAGTGCTCAAAGGGAGTGCAGAGCACAGCTAGGGACAAGGCAAGTCCTCAGATGCTGCCAGGAGGAGTTGAGCAGGACAAGGAGCAGAGGGAGGGTGAAGGCGCTTCTTTGATGCTGCAGATTAAATATGAAGCAAGATGGGAGTGCAGGAAAGTCCTGACCAGCAAAGCAGAAGTGAATTTACCCAACGTGGCTAATGCAAAGGTGTATCCCAGCGGTGGGAATGTCCCCTTCACTTTCACTGCTCTCTCCTACCATTTGCCTAATTTTTACTACTCCTAAAGTGAGAGAATGTGAAACTTCCCTCTCTCTCCTTCACACTTTGTAATTCAGAGAGAGCGCTGAGTCTGACATCTTGCTGGGGGAATACAGGCCTGGGCTGAGCTCCCAGCTCCTTCTGCATGCTATGATCCCTGCGTGGAATGGCAGTCTTATGGAAGCAGTTATGATATGGACATTAATAACAATACCAGAAGCACTCTTCAGGCCAATCTGTTTTATGTTACTAGTGGCACTGAGGAGAATGAACATTGTTTACCAAAGCAACCTTGACTGGGTGGTGTTGGGCGTTCTGTGTTTACGGGGAAGGGAACGTGCATGTGATGACAGAGGTAGAGGTGGAGATTAAGTTATTGTAACATCTATCTTTTTATGCCTTCCATTGGAATGAAAATATACTCTCACTTAGAGTAAGTCTACAGCGGTGTTTTTGAAAGGGAGTCAGTGACACAGGCAACGTGTTGCTGATTTACGGCAACATCAGTGCAAATCACTCCATTAGATTGAGGCCAGTGAAAGGCAGGTCATGGCTCCAGTGATGCTGGAGCCAGGAGGGGCTGCAGGACTTCAGGAGGTCATGTTGTAGCGTATGAATGGTGCTGAAGTCTCTCAGCCCACAAAAGGCTGCTGTACCACACTAAGGCTACCCTCTGTATCAGGATGGAGAGCCAGAGTGCACTGCCAGCAACAAGCAAGGTGCCAGGGCAGCGGCAGGAGGGGGGAAGGGCACAGACCACCATCTGGCCTGTCTGTGCCCTCCTGCATGTCAGCATTAGCAGGCAGCAGCTGAACATTAAATTCTTTAAGCAGTCACCTGATGAACTTTGCAGAAAGTTGAAACCTGAAAGATTTATGCTTATCAGAGCCAGCACAGCATTTTGTGTAACCTGAGTCCTTGTAGGACCAGGTCAAAACCTGGTCAGCGTTGAGTCATCTCCCTGACTTCCCATCCGCGCAGCCCCATGAGAGGAGATTGGATTTCAAACACGCTCTGTGTGTCGTCTTTAGAAGACATAATACAAATAAGTGACACCCCAGGACCAGGCGTCAGTATCGGGGGCAAGAGGAAGGGAGAAAAGCACAACTGATCAAAGATGCCCCCGGCTGCTTTGCTGAGGCATGTCCCTCAGGAGGGAGGCTGAAAAGACCAATTTTCACAGATCTCAGCACCAGGAAATAGGCGTTTCATCATGAGTTGAGTCATGGAAAGGAGGATTGGGCCAGGCCGCTGCTGCTAAGGCAGAAACTAAAGGTAATTTATTACCCTGAGGCCTGCTGAGGCTTGGGGAACTCACGAGGAACATGCAGCATTAAGGAGGCCTAGCCCCCTTAGGAGACTTTTTGGAGAGTGACTAGTCGAGATGGGATATCTTCAACCATTTGAGCGCGTTCAGTCCTTCCACACATCTGTATCAAAAAATAAACAGCATGTAGGTACTGGGAGAAAGGGTGGCCTTGCTGTTAAAGCGCTGACCTGGAATTCAGGACACCTGGCTTCACTCACAACTCTTTCAGGTGGCTTATACAGTTCAGCAAGTCGCTTAATCTGCTCCACTATCAATTCCTCGTGTACAAAAGCTGATGATAATAGCACAGTGCAACTGGGTACTTGGAAATACTTGTGGAAATACTTGTATTTGTATATGAATTGTCCCGGTGAATAGGAAGAAGGCAGCAGTGACTCTCCTGCCCCTAGCATGGAGCTGCAGGGGATGCTCATGGAGGCTCACTTCCGCTGGGGACAGAAGTGGAGTACAATCAACCCCCTCTTACAGACCACGTTGGGGGCTGCTGCATCAACAGCACTTATAATGCGGGCCCAGATGATTAAGAGTTGACACTACAGGAATTTCATGCCACTAAAAATCCGTCATTGGGATTCTTTACTGCAGGGCTCTGGTGCTTGTTGAGGTGAGGGCATGATCTACTCTGCTCCACCCTTCCTCCTGCAAAGGTCATTCACCGGCTGATTTCAATCATGCGTGCATCTAGCTGAACTGCCCAGCTGCCTGATAAAGGAATCTGAGGTGAGTGCTCTGGTAGAAGGATGAGATGAAGCAGTATCAACTACTATGCTTCTGCTCTTGCGTTGTGGAAGGTTTTTATAGAGGCTGTCTACCTCTGAGAGTTCTTATGTTTTTGTCCCTCAGCCTGGTATGTGTTTTTGATAAACAGGGTGATGAGGTTACGTTCTAGATTCTGCTGTGGGGAAAAGCTATTTGATCTTGCAGGAGGGGTGTAGCTTCTACAGGCTTCATTTAAGCTGGCACTACAGCTGAGTGTCTCATACTTTCAGTGCAGGGGAGGGAGGCTGAGGGGTTCATTAATATTTGTGAAACGCATTGAAAATTTTCAGGTGAATGGGGACCCTTTATTGCAATGCAAGGTATTGTTTTTTTCGTGTGAGCGGTGATTAACTGGTAGTACTAAATACTGAAACCCACCAGTTCCCATATGTGCAAGCGTGTGTGTGTAGCAGGGCCAGGCAAATGACTAATGCAAACCTGAAGAGAGACAGCAGAGCATATTGTAAAGATCAACCCTATTTCAGCTTATGTTCAAATCGGAAATGCCAGAGATTGTTTCATAGTCTTCTGCAATGTTCATTATAAAAGTCCCCAGATGGCAGATGGCTATTAGCTCACTGTGACCTATATAAATGTCAAATGTAAAGCTATTGCCCCAGTGAAAATCTCAAAATAAATAACAACAGGAGGGATGCTGTTCTGCTACCATCAGGATTCATGGATTATGAATTCATGCTAATTCATCCCAAAGCCAGCAAAGGAATGAATCTTGTCCTTTTGGAGGGATTCACTTAACACCTGCTTGCACATGAATTCAAGTCCTGCCTGCCTGATTCTTCCACTGATCTCTTCTCTGCTACCTCCCCCTCTAGTCATGTGCAGCTTATCCTGGAGGGAAAGCTGGTTCCTGGGAAGAACAGGGTATGTGTAGGATGGTATTGATTAACGTGAGACAATGCAGTGGTGTCGCTCGCCACTGACAGTGAAGACTTCTTTGTTTGCCAGAATCACGTAGCAACGACTCTCTGATGTATGCACCTTAACTTCATACCTTGGCTTCATTTATCTTAACTCTCCTCAATGTATCCTGTAGACAAGACCTTTGAAAGGAAAAGAATTGCAATCGTGAGTTTGAGGAAATTTATCCTGAATGGCCATTTTAAGATGATTGGCTAGACAACTCAGCAATCACCACGTAGTATGTTTGTTTATGTATCTACAGTGTTCAGATGCCTCAGATGGCATCAAGGACATATTGTGTTCAGCAGTGTACAAACACAGAAGAAAGAAAACTATTAAAAAGAAAAAAATTGTGGAACTGAAAGAATTGCTCTTCCAACCCCCCTCCCCCCCCCAAACAGTTTCCACAAAAGAAGTTGTTGGCTGCTGTCAAAATTCTTTACGTTTCACACACGCAAATTATGGTGCTTTTTAATACATTGCTTGGGGAAAACACAAATTAGCTGAATTTAGAAATATTTCATCCCCATAAAAGGCATTTTGCTAAACAAAAAAATATAAGTGAACGTTGTATTAATGTTTTTGATAAGGAGGTGACCATATAGTGATATTATGCTGTGAATGAATTGGCTTATTAAAAAGTTGAAAGGAAAAGTAGAAATGTGGGTCACTTTTATCTGTGCAGGAGCAGCTTCACCCATATTTTTTCTGCAAACTTGGGATTTCATTTTTGAACTGTCCCACTGATAAATATTCCCAAGAAGCATAAACTGACTTTCATTTCTTAGCACTCTGATTTATGTTGGCTGAAAGCTTGCAGGCCTCTCAAGTTGAGAATCTCTCTTTAAAAATAAAACCCGTATTACACCTGGAGTTGCGGTGCTGTTCTCTGATGATATCAGAATTGAGAAATGGAGTATATCAAGTATAGGGAATATGTCATATGTGAAGAAACACTGATGAGACTGTTGTAACATCCTCTGTAAGCCATATGAAGCTGCAGAACGCTGCAGAGTAAATGTAGGGCTCAAAAGCTGTCATGTAGTTAATGACCAGAGCTCTAAAAATGTGTATTAAGCATGACATTAAAGTGCCAGTACTAAACACTTCACATATTAAGTGCAGCTCTGGCTGATGTAAATTAGGAATAATTAAATATAACAAAAAAATAGAACTGTACTGTAGTTGTGACCAGGCTACACCGCAGTTAACATATGTGTGGCAAAAAGAAAGGATCTAATTTATGAGGTTGGCCAGTCAACAGTCAGTACTGGAAATAATTGTATTCACTGCCCTTATTCTTCGGTATAGCAAAGGACACAACCGTGCTCGGGTGCTTCATTGCCAACATCAGCAGTGGATAGATTAGCCCGGCAATCAAAGAAGAAAGTTCTCTGGGTATGGCTTATAGGGGCAAATGCTGTCACTTTTATGATAATCTTAGAAACTTAATCCTGGTAACTTTTTGCAGCTTTAACTTCTGCAAGTGCCTTTTCATCAGAACAGAGGATCATGTTACCTTTAGGTATAAAATGAACTTGCTCCTCCAACATCGTGGCACTGTAGTCATTTACATGAACTGATAATCCAGTTTAGCATAGGAAAAGATCCAAAAAGGTAAGCGGGCTGGATATTTGCTATGAAAACACATAATGAAGAATTGTACAGGTCCACTTCCAATTTGATCCATATCCATTGTTCCACAGCTTTAGATCAATGGGTACTGATATTGCACTTGAAAATTAATTTCCCACAAAGCTTTTGCTGACAATTGACAGGTGACAGATTGCTGTATTGGTTATATATATATTGTTTGTGCCCTAATGTGAAATGGAGGTCTTTAATGTCTTTTTGTTTTCTTTTATTAAGCCTGCAATTCCACAATGACAAAAATTACAGCCAACAGCTAGTGCCATGCAAGTACACCCAAGCTGATGTTGAGCTGACAACTCCAGAACGGGAATCAGCGTACGTACTTATGTCCGCACTAATTAACAGAGCAGGAAGGGCTAATGAGCTCAGGATCCTTACCATGCATTTGTAGTGCTCTTGAGATCTAAGCTAGTACTTCTACCTGGCGTTACATGGTAATGTACAGAGAGGCTTACTGGAGTATCATTAAAGAGTGAAATTAGGCTGAAGTGGAGGACAAATGGATTCTGCTCAGTCCTCTTCTTATGACACACTGAACTATTAAATCAGAGAATACCGGGAGAAGTAATGGCAAAAATAAGGAACAACCTCCAGGTTTTGCGCTAGGGAACTTTGAACCTGATGGTTGGTTTCGTACCTTGAGTCTCTCTCCTGCACACTGATGTAAATCAGAAGACACTCCCTGAAGCGGTTCACTAGTGCAGAACTGGTAGAAATAATGGCAGAGGGAAGTCTGTTGTTTTGCCAGACCTACAGAGGAAAAAAACAGATTAGCTGAAAGCATGTCTTAGAGCCCGCGCTCCAGCTGCCCATGGAAGCCAAGTGAATCCGTGTAAGAGGATGGTATTCTAGGAATTACCATCCCAAAAGATGGGGAGACAGGGAGGGTGTGGGGGTGAAACATCAACACCCTTTGTTCCTGTGCAGCGTGGCAAGGTTAGAGTTAACATGACCTAGAAGCAGAAACAAAGAAGGCTTTCCTTTTTCATTCTTTGGCATGCCTGTTTCTTGCTTCTCTGAGTATTTGCATGACCATAAATTCAGAGCTCTGGAGGATATTTTCAGCCAAAGACTACATGTGCAGGATACCATAATGTAAACTGCATATGTTGTGAGAAGTTGTTAAATGGAACCAGCAGATGATAATGTGCCCAGCATTGCTGCTAACATCACTTGATTTCCTCCCACCATAGGTAAAACAAGACCTCTTCCCAATCAATTCTAACTTTCTGACAAGTCTATAAATTAAAATAAAGAAGAGAATGTTTTTTGGCTACCAGACCTCCACTAGAGACACAGGAACTGGCCCCCATTTCCGAGAGAGGCTCTGGTTCTGAGAAAGCTCAGGCGTGTTTGAGCACAAATGGGCTTCATTTGTTGTTTCACGTTTCTGCATTCTGCCTTGCAGGCAATGAGCTATGTTGAAAGAGTCTGGCATGATCCAGTGCATCTGCCACCTTTCCCTTCCCCTTCCTTTTCCAGTGGCTGTCCCCCCTTTTTTGTGTGAATTTAGGGAGCTGCAACTTTTCCTCCTTGCTTGAGGATGTGCAGCTGTTAAAGCCACACGGTGTGTACACCAAAGCCATTTTCGAGGCATTCTCCTGGTCAGCTTCAACAGTGACAGGAGAAAAGGTGAGAAAAATGTACCGTGGAGCCCACCTCATCAGCGCTTTACTGCGCACAGGGAATGCAATCTGCTCTGAGCTTAGGTTTCATTGTTCACTTGTGTCCATCTTGTGCTTTTCCTGCATGCGTACAAATGGCAGCACAGGAAGCATGGCAGTGAAGAATCAGGTCTGAGGTGGACAGAAAACAGGCACCTTTCCCTGTCAAAATATTTGGAGATGATTACATATCGGGAAAATAATTTGGATGCTTCTCTGGTAGTAAAATCTCAATGGAGACTATTATACCCTTTCACAGAAAATCCTACGCTGAGGGAGAGAAAAAGGTTGATTTCTACAGTATTGACAAAGACAAATTTTAAATGGATTATGTGGTTAGTATTAGTAGGCTCTGTCTTGATTTGTTTGAAAGTCTAATATTGCATATCCCATGGACAAAGATTACTGGGAGAATTTCTTAGGAAGGAACCGTGCAACGTCATAACACTCCTGGAAAATATCTTTTGATATAGAGGGAGTTAAAAGCTCTTATACGGAGGGGGGAAAAAACCGTCTTCAGTAGTTCTTCTTGCTGATCAGTTCTGACACAGAATCTCAACCTGAAAAATTCAGATTTTCTCTATGATAGCCCTTAACTCAGATAGTAACTGTTGGTTTTACCTACCCTCTGGTTTGAAGCTTGGAACAATATTCAGTATTTCCTTCCTGTGTTGATGAACCCCAGCAGTCGGCTGTACAGTGTCAATGACATTCACCTCTGAACAGCAATTTTGGAGTTGGCCAGCTGATCTTATTCCTTGTCCTTTAGCCGGTGAGAGATGCTGTAAGTTTGTTTGCTTCCCCAAAAGAATCAAATGGAGATGATGTGTTTATTTAAATATTAATAATATCTAGAGGTATAACACTGAACAGTAATCAAACACATGTTGAAAGAATGATAAAACATATGTTTCAGGGCTTGCATTTGTTTCTAACTTTTAACTAAGGGGTCAAGAAAAGAGAGCCATGTGGGTAGTACAATCCCAAACTTGAGGAGTTTCTTCTATTTCTTGAATATCCTGCTGTTGAGTTTCTTGAATTTTTTTGCTGAAGCATTTGATGCAGGCTACTGTCAAAGGCAGGATGTTGGGCTGGCTGTATGATATATATGGTCCATCCTGGAATTTCTTTCATTTCTCTGTCAGTTTTAGAGAGGAGCTAATTTTTAAAAGTGTTTCTAAGTGCAAATTGCAATCATGCATTTTCATTTTGAAGCTCAGCTGCTGGGGATCTGTTTACTCATTATTTACCTGCCAAGTCTCTTGCCAAATTGAGAATTTTTCCCTGGGAGATTCCAAGGTATTGCAAGCACCTCAAGTAGCACAGGCTGAAAGAAAAAGCTCTGCTTGAGGTGTCTGAGATGTCACTAACAGTTGCTGAGAAAAGACAGAACCCTAAACTCAAGACTAGTGAAGTAAGTAAAACAGGCATAGTATTTGACTTTCCCTATAGCTTCAACATGCATTCAGTTTGCCTTGATGTTAATTTTGTTTCATTTCCTTTGCCGTTTCTGGCTTTAAAACTTAATCTTTATACTTACTATTTAGTTATTGTTTATCACAAAAGCTTCTGAATTACTCTTTAGGTGGGTCAAATGTTGTCTGGGGAGCTGAAAGAATTTCCAATCCTTGCAAGACAATTACATTAAATCCCTGATGCTGGGGAATGCTCTTGCTGTGATCTGTGTCTGTGCAATCAAAAGAGTTTAGAGTCTAGCCAAGTTGATAAATCAGCAATGCATTTTTACACTGAGGGCCTGAAATGTAGCTTTCAGAATTCTTATCTGCAGGGCACTGGTGCACAGAACATGTAAGCTCATTCTGCAGATGCTTAATAAGGATCACCTAGTATTTCTCTTCCCCACAGCAAGTTAGTAAGCCCTGTAGGAGACTAGTACTCGAGCTTGTTCTTATGCATCTGAGTCAGGTGGTGCTGTGACCGTTTTAAGAAGAGCTCCATGCCCATAGGTGCAAGATGTTACTTGGGGCTGCCATTTGGGACTGGGTGGTACTAGCGCTAGGAGTAACTGCATAGCTGTGGAGGTATCCTCGGGAGTCTGTTCTCTATGCTATTTTCCGAGGGCTGAAGTTTAGGGAAAAGCAGGTATGGTTCTTTAACGCTACTTCTGCAAAGGTGGGGAATTAGTGCAGCCCTTCTTAGGAGGAGTGCAGAAAGCCTTGCACTCTGGTTTA